AACATTGTTTATTAGAACAAAAATAAGAGCAACTTAGAATGCTATTACCTATTTACGAGATATGTTGAAAATGTTGTCCTTGACTAGCAATACTGGCTTCAGATAATCGCAGGCACGTAACCAAGGGGGGGCCTGGGGGGGCACAGGCCACCCCATCAAAACCCTGTGCCACCCCTGGTGCCCCCTTAAATTAATTTTAAATTTTAAAAGAAAGCAAATTCGAAATTTCAGATCAACAGTAAATTTTAGCTATGAGTAATCTTATGTTCCTATCTTGTAATATAACTCTCTGAGTAAAGCGATACTGCTGTGAACAGTTTTGTCGATAACTTTTTTAAGCAATTAGCCGATACAATTGATATGCCTTTTACACACTATGCAGATTGGCAGGGTTTAAATGAATTCTCATGGTGTTAGTCAATTTCAACTATTTGCACCGCATTAAGTTTATATATACTGGTTGTGATCCAAGTAAAATGTTGATTTATACTAATGGAGACTTTTTTAAAGGCCTCCTTATTTGAAATTAGTGCCCGGGCTGGGCCCCTCCAAAATAAAAGGCTGGTTACGTGCCTGGAACATCGCAACATGTTTGTTCATAGGTAAAAAATCACCGAGAGTTACACGTATTGTAGCGGCTGTCACTTCCACTTGTTATATATTAAAGTACTGTGCCGATTGTTGTCAAATTTTGTATGAATTATATTAGTTATATCATGTATACGAGTATCATTTCCACCAATAATGTGATGACGTCTCACTTAAAAATTGTACACCGTAAATAATGGATTTTAACTTATACAGGGTGACTGCGAAATATGTGAAATAATTTTAACCACGGCATCCCCCACCCTAGTAGAGTCGAAATATAGAAAAAACAAATTAAAAATCGAATGGGGCAAAACCCCCATAAACCACCCTCGATACGAAGGCACTGAGCCACCTTGTAAACAGAGTTAGAAAAACGTTGGAATAAAAACGACGTAAACACTTTCAGCTACAGTTAAAAGTAAAACCGACTTTTTGCTGCTTATCATTCGTTCATTCATTTATTCATTCATCGTTAAAGGTCAGTGCGAAAATTTTTTAGTAATGCTTGATGATCAACTTTTTATTCTGAAGTATGTTTGGTCCTTGCCACAACGATTTTACATTGTTTATTGGAACAGAAATAAGAGCAACTTAGAATGCTACTACTTTTTTACAAGAAATGTTGAAAATGTTGTCCTTGACTAGCCATACAGGCGTCAGAGCGTCGCAAGATGTTTGTTGATAGGTAAAAAAAACACCGCAGTAGTGGCTGCCACTTTCACTTGTTGTTGAAGCTCTTCGATAATTTCTGGACACTGTTGATTTCCACAAACTAATTGTTTCATCCAACCGATACACATTTATCGAAAACGGTCTCTTGAAATCGTACTTGTTGACGAGCATGTGGAGTTTCATCGGGCAAAAAGTCGTGGACAATCAGTGGAAAAAGTCCAAACCCTGCACTTTGTCAACATGGTATGGATGTGGCTGTGCTCTTTTAATGTAGGATGCACTACAAGCTGTGAAAATTCAACTTTTTCTTTCTGTCCTATCACGGCCACTATCGTGAGTTTGAAGTTGAAGGTACCCTGCTCTAAGAGATGCTGTACCACTAATGCAAATGTTCGCGCACACCAATTACCATATCGACACACTCTGCATGGGAAAACTGCACCATAAACCGATTTCACCGACCGCTCGATGCTGACTGGCCCTTTCCGTGTTTTTCACGTTGCGATTAAAAAAGTCCCTGATAAAATCACTTTTTTGGTTCTTAGTCGGAGTCGCTCGGTTCCATTCATTGTAGTAATTATGTAGGTCACGAAACATTCAAAGCGGCGCGTATAACAATTTACATTTAATTTCAAATAATTTTTTCTAGACATTGTTACCACTTAAGACAGTAAATTTTACCCAGTGACATAATCATATTGTGAGCTATTCCCCATTTTTTCTTGCATGTATTTCGCAATCAACTTGTATAAAACAACATAATCCTACACATGTAGTTTATGACTCCGTGTTGAATTACCCGAAATGTCCAGATTAAAAAAAAAGATCAAAATTATAAAACAATATTTTGCAATTTAATTTTGAAGAATCTGCAAAACCGATTGCTTTGAAATCTTGCAGATGTTTAAAAATCATGATAAGCATAATAAATATTTTTCTACTCCCGTTTAACAACAACGGGTGATTTCTATGAAGTAGTCAAGAAATACATTACTCTCCGCCCAGCTGATGTTGCATGCCCTTAATTTTTTTGTAAATTACAAAACGGTCGTTGCACAAGTCAGAGAATTGGAATTAACAAGTTTACTTCGATGGGGAAACAAATTGCCACATTTTTGGATCTTCCTAATCCCGAGTTGTATACTGGACATTCATTTAGGCGATCCTCTACCACCTTACTCGTGGATGCAGGAGGTGATATCACGGCCTTAAAAAGACATAGGGGGTGGAAGTCCAGTACCGTCGCTAAAGGCTATATTGATGACTCTATGAAGAACAAATTGGATACGGCCGAGAAAATTGTTCAGTCATTACAAAATAACCCCATTATAAAAACATCAAATAAGAATTTAACAATGGACATCAGCACACCATCTGTCAGTATTACAAATTGTTCTAATTTTACAATAAATATTCAGAACCCTAATTCAATGTAAACATATGTCTAAATTGTAACTTAAAATGTTATTTAAATTAATAAACTCCACGATGCTCACTGTATTTTTGTTGCTTTTTGGTATTAGGTCGTAGAAAAAGTATAGTATTATATTCACAATTATGGCCATTATTCACTCGGATCGTTACGCAAACGTCATCCTCGTGAATAACGGCTATCATAATTGCTCATATAATAATACACTATTAATGAAAATACATTTGTTTTCCCCTCTACAAATTTGATGACGTCAGCTCAAAATTTGGCCGAATAAATCCTATCGAAAATATGATGAGTGGTAATAACAGGTGGATATGATCAGACAAATTTTGGTGAACGTTTTACATTCTATGTGATATTCCCAGCATATATAATATACAATATCGCCGAGTTGCAATTTTATAATTTATCTGAGAAACCGCATTTATTTGATTGTACTTCAGAGGAGTCTCTAAATAATTTTAAACAATTGTTTTTTCTAATGTATTTCCTCAGCCCCCTAAAAAAATTATGATGTCACTTAAAAATATTGCTGAATAAATTCTACCTTAAATGTGCACAAAATTGTTACGAAATAAACCCATAGCCCGCCCCGGTCCGACGCCTATGGGTTTTCTAGCATGTGCGGCGATGATAGGTTATCGGTGACGGTGGCCGGGAGGCGTTCGTATAAATCTCGATTGCGGGATCCAGAAAAACCTCTATAAGTGGCGTTAGCGAATCATCCAGAGGAATGTATGGGTTTAAATCGAGGCACAGTGTAAGGTCTATAAGTGAGTGTCCAACAGCTTGAATTGTGACCCCGTAAGTTACAAAGATGGCTGCCGTAAATGTCTGTTGTGGTCGCTAAAACGCAAATTATCAAGTTTGCAGCCTACTTGAAAAATTATTGACATTATTAAAAAACTTTATACTTTGATTTATTGCCTATCAAACTTGTAAAATTTTCACTGCTTTAATAAAAATTTTTTTTATTATTTCTCCTATTTTTTATTAACGGATTTATAGTAAATTAATTCACTTATTAAGTTTGTTTAGACCGAAAATAGAAGTTCTGATCAACAAATCTATTTAAAAACAATCATTATTACGTTTCCAATGTACTTTAAAAAATTTAATTATTTACCGTAATTTGCAGCACTTTATTCTCATTGTTGTCAACACAAATCGAGTCCAGTAAATAAAAGAATGAGTCTAGTCAAATCCGTTCCAATAGAGTCGGAATTATTCTGTAGATAATCGCCATATATAGTTAATCGTGTAGTGTATTATCGAGAAATAAATTGTTGAGTTTTACCCATGCCGATTTTTAATTATCGGTCAACGTACCCATATGATCAGTCTAACTTGTGACTTGTGATTTATCACTTCATTAATATTTTTTAGATTTGCTTATGGAGGGTCTCTCAAAAATAATAATTACTGAGTCAATTTATTTTATTGATTAAATAAATAATTGCAAAACTGACTATTTTGAAATCTTGCAGACGTTTTGAATTTATTGTAAGCATGGTAACTTTTTATTCAAAATGTATATGTTTATCAACCCCAAAAAATTTATGACGTCATCTCAAGATTTTGCAGAATAAATCCTATCTCAAATGTGCAAAATGTGATCAGTCTACATAGTAATTCATCATTGCATTCACATTTTTTAGATTTGCTTATACGAGGTGACTCAAGAAAAATTAATGAATTAGCTGTAACACTCTCCTGAAAATTTTATAGAGATATTAAAAAATAATTTTGCAACAATGACTAGACCAGCTTCTTTTGCTATAGTAAACGAAGCAATTGTAATTTATGAAAATTATTTGAAATCATTGAAAAATAAATACCAGAGCGTGTTTCAATAATTTAGTTGTTACCCTACCTGAAAATGGCGATAATTATAAATGAAACATTCATTTATCTGTAAATTTAAGGCAATACTCAATACTAAAAATGTACATGTTCTGTGCAGTTGTAGTAACTACTTCATGAGCACAAATAAATTTAAACATTAATGTTTACACATTTTTTACAAACCAATATTTTTCACAATTACGCTAAAAACAGATGAAGTAAATAATAATTACGATTCGGTTTCGTGCATCTATTAAACAACAATTCGCGTCAGAAATGCACGACAAAAATGATCACATGATTTTCGAATGAAATTTATATTGCAGTTGCTCAAGAAATTACACTTGACCTAGGGCAATCTATGAACCCGTATAGACAGTAATAATGAACATAAAGATCTAAATAAAACATGGATTCCAAACTGCAGCAGCCACTAATTTAACAAACACGTACAAACCTGTTTTCTGGGTCTGAAAGAGGTCGTCAGCTGTTTGCGTCGTGACGCTCCGGTTTTCCAGGATTCAGCGTTTTGATTCTGACCGAACACAAACACAAAACACCAACGACAAGGACGATACAAGGTCGTGAAAACGACTTCGGCGCCGTTCTAAGCGATCGCTTAGTATCCTGCCCCACCACTTGGACTGCGTCCCCACGCATATTTAAAGTTACCTATTTTTACACAAATACGTACTTATCTTCGTTTCAAAGCAGTCACTATAAAATTTGATGGCACAAATTTACAGACGTAGATTTAAGGACATTCTGGTGTTAGATTTAGAATAAAATGTCGCTGTTATGAATATGAAGCTCTAATGTTAGCTTCCAGTGCTTAAATATAGTTTTTGCGAACTACCACCAGACAGGTAAGATTATAAAAATTAAGCAAGAATGAAAACCGTGTTTAGGTGTTAAGGAAAGGCGGTAGGTACCAAGACCCTACCATAAATAAAATCTCCCTTGTTGTTACACTGCATTGGGGGCTTCGCCAGGTCCGCATTCCCCAATTTTTATTGAACTAATGATAAAAATGTTTAAACTGGTTTTATAATTTTAGGGTTAATAAAAATTATAATAACATTATACCTCCTAATGCTAAAATTTACACAAATTTTTAAATAGTTCATAGCGTTCGCGAGTTAATATTTTGTCGCTATTTATCGATTAATACATTATCTACTCAAAAAAAAACTAATATACTAAACTCACTTGACATACACCTAGGAAACCTTTTATGAGTTTAGCGGCTTAAGCCGAACCAGCCTTATAAGTCAAACAGGCTATTGTATAACTCAACTCAGTTGGCATATACCTAGTAAAACGTTACAGCTCCATTATAGCAACAATGGACAGTAATAACCCTTGCATCCATAAAGCTTACAATAGCCGGTTGGACTTATAAGGCTGGTTTGGCTTAAGCCGTTTAAGTCAAAAAGTTTACTAGGTGTATGTCAAGTGAATTTAGTATATATGTAACTTAAGGTTGATAATTACTTAATATAGCATAATTTAACTGTCTTTCTTATATAAACAAAAAATTGGTCGAAAGTTATTTCGATAGAACTTCCGTCGCCCTTGAGTACAAAGCCATTTTTTCGACAATCATTTGATTTTGCGAATTTAATTTTTAACTTCCCGAGCGTAAACGAAGGAAGTATTGTAATCGAGTCCGTCGGCCGACTCTCTACGTTTACGTTTTCGCGACCTTTCATGACCCCTAGAGTACGAAATATTTCTACTCCCGTTTCCGTCTGTCTGTCGGTCCGTCTATTTGTCCGTCTGTCTGTCTGTCCCCTCTGTCTGTCTGACCGTCTGTCCGTCTATCTGTCTGTCTGTCTGTCTGTATGTCTGTCCGTTTGTCTGTCCGCCTCTCTGTCCGTTTGTTCGTCCGTCTGTCTGTTCGTCTGTCTGTCCGTCTGTCTGTCCGTCTGTCTGTCCGTCTGTGTGTCCGTCTGTGTGTCCGTCTGTCTGCCGTCCAGATTTTTATTAGACAGATAATCTCCAAAAGTACTATACCGATTGTTGACAAATTTGTATTTATATTAGGAATAGTCCTACACATGGAGTTTTGTGTAGTGTTGAGTTTTTACCCGAAGCCTCCAGGTTTTTGGAAAAAAAAATGAAAATTATAAAACAATATTTTGCAATTTAATTTTGAATCTGCAAAACCGAATGCTTTGAAATCTTCCAGATGTTTTAAAGTTATGCTAAGCATGGTAAATTTTTGATCAAAATATATTTGCTCATTCCCCCTAAAAAATTGTAGACGTCACTTCAAAATTTTTCTGAATAAATTCTATCTTAAATGTGCAAAGCATGATATGTCTGAAAAAAATTAATGACTGAGTCAATTTATATTATTGATTAAATCAAGAATTTCAAAACTGAACACTTTGAATTCTTGACATTTTGAAGTTATTGTAAGCATGGTAACTTTTTAATCGAAATGTATCTATTTATCGATCCCAAAAAATTGATTACGTCATCTCAAAATTTTGCCGGTTAAATTCTTTTGAAAATGTGTATAATGTGATTAGACTATACTTGTAACTTATCATTGCATTCATGTTTTTAGATTTGCTTATACAGGGTGACACAAAAAAAAATAATGATAAGGTAATAATTATAATAATAACATTTAGAATATTTAGTTCAATTGAAGTTTATGAATAATTTTAGTCTGTTTAATCCGTTTTGAGGCGATAAGCTCATTAAAATCAAACAAATGTCTACGTGACATTCTTCCGATGTATATACATTAATATTTTTTATACTACGCATATTGCTCAGGTAGCTTTATTCCCGTTGATAATGTGCTGTAAATATATTTTTTGCACTCATGATCTTTTCTGATGACTGTCGCGCATTTACCAGGATGCGGGTGATTGAACTTCCCGCATACGTGCTTTTTGCTTTCCGTTGCCATGGTAACTTTAAAATAGCCCGGAAACGTCAAATTGCTAAGTGTTTATGGTGCCATCAACGTCGTTTGTTTATAAATAACTCACAGTTAATCTTTTCGGTTTAAAAATTTATTGGTTGCAAAAAATATTGTACACGACACGTTCGTGAAGCCTACTTCCCGCATTGCCGCAACCTTTCATGCGGGAAACAGGCTATCCCCAACTAGTTTTTCCCTTCAAATCCGAAACAGCACATCCCAATTTCACAATGTGAGAATACAGTAATAGAATGGATAACTGTTATTATTACACTGTAGTTTATCCATGTGCTTTACAACGCATTCATGTTTTTCCATTATTGTTGGTACGAGACATCGATCAATGCACTGGATGTAATAAACAAAATTAAAGTATGATTGAATAATAAATGCATAAAAAAGTCTCTCCCGGAAACTTTCCAAGAATAACGTGTACTACATTAGTTGCTTATCGGCGGAGTAACCGTTGTCGTCGCGCCCAGACATAAACAATTTGTCCAAATATATAAACAAACGTGTATTACATCACTGAATGTTAATCAAAAATATGATCCAGGATTACCTATACACAACTACCCTCGTTCTTGAAATACCGTCGAACAAATACATAGTTTAGCTTTGTCTATATAATGCCAACGTGGTTGGCGAAACGCGACGACAAATATGTTGTGTGTTTTCGGTGTTGTGAAAATACACATTCTATAAAATACAAAATTTCCGAAAAATTATAAAATTTAATTTTGCGTATTTTATTTTTACTTCCTGAGCGTAAGCAAAGAAAGTATTGTAATCGAGTCTATCGGTGGGCGACTGATACTTTACGTTTTCTCGACATTTCATGACCCACAGAGTATGAAAAATTAGGTCTCGTGGCTCAGTCTGTGTACCGTCTGTTCAGATTTTTATTAGACAGACAATCTCCAAAACTACCGGACCGATTGTTGTCAAATTTTATATGTATGTTAGGAATGTGTAGATGGTAAAAAGCTAACCAAAGTTTGCCCAATCTCCGTAGCAATTTCATGACATGTCAAAAATGTTTATAATAAATTTTATAAAATAGCATACTCTTGTACAAATTCGCAAAATCAATTTTTTTTAATTTTTCAAAGAAGCGAGATTTGCGGCACTGCACCTCGGGGGCGAGGGAGGTCCTGTCGGAATAACATTCGGCCAACTTTTTAGAGTTGCTTATACGGTGTGTCTGAAAAAAATTAATGACTGAGTCGATTTATTTTATTGATTAAATCAAGAAATACAAAACTGAATACTCTGAAATCTTGACGTTTTGAAGTTATTTTAAGCATGGTAACTTTTCAATCAAAATGTGTCTGTTTAAAACAATTGATTACGTCATCTCAAAATTTTGCCGAATAAATTCTTTTGAAAATGTGCAAAATATGAACAGACTATTCTTGCAACTAATCATTCTATTTATATTTTTTAAATTTGCTTATACAGGGTGACTCAAAAAAGTTAATGAATCAGTCAATTTATTATTGATCAAATTAAGAACGATCCACCCTATTTTCTCGAAAATGTGAGAAAACGTTCGTCTTTACTAATAGTGAGAAGGTAAGAATTATAATAATAACATTCAGAATTTTTTGTTCAATTGAGACTTATTAACAATTTAGTCATCTGTTTTGAGGCGATAAAATTATTCAAATAAAACAAATGTCTACGTGACATTCTTCCGATGTATAAACATAAACATTTGAAACACTACGCATATTGCTCAATACCACTATTCCCGTTGGTAATGTGCTGTAAATATATTTTTTAGACGACTGTTTACGAAAGAGACACTTTCCGCACTACAATTTATGTATGAAAGTTCCGAATATCACGTTAGTAACTTTTTATCATATTAGTACCAAATTACTCTCAATCAATTACGTGCAGCCAATGAATCTCTGATTGATTGGCTGTACATTTTAGCTCCTTCTGAATATTTTATAGTTTTTCCTAGTTTTCCTTCGGTGAAAATTTTTGAGTTTTTGCTTAATTGCAGTGAACTGTGCATATTTTAGTTATTGTGAATTTAGTGCATTTTAAGTACGTTCTTTTTTTATTAGCATTCTTTATGGTTAAACTCATCAACGAAAGTTATTCAATGAGTTTTTTCTATTTTTTTGTGTTCCTTATTCACTTTCACCGTCAAGTTAACTTTATCAGCTTATAATTAATAACCTTACCGTGACCTACCCGTGTTTGTTGATTTTGTTAGCCACCATAACAGGTCCTATAGGTGTGAAGAAAAGTGTCCCCGTTTTTTTGTCTTTCCTTAGCTACTTATTTATTTATATACTGATTTGTTTTTGGAGTTCTATCCATTTGTAATAATGGTTGTGTATTGCTCATTATGTGCATCTGCGGTAACCCCGTCAACACCCTCAGTAAAATGTGTTGTTTGTGCCGAAAAATAGGGTCATATTAAGTAAATGTCTTGATACAGTCTCGGGCGCTTCTAGCATTAAAAGCTCTTGGACTTGTAATACTTGCTCCACTTCAGATAGTCCGATCTCTCTTCCGGCTATAGAGCAGATAAATTATATAATTATATATAATATAATAATATCAATAAATTCAATAAGCTAAAAACGGAGTTAAAGTTAGAACTGGCTGAGGTTATTAGTGAGAAATTTCAGCAAATTTCCGATAGAATTCAAGTGGTTGAAGACAACGTGGAAAAACTTCAATCTGAGCTTAATCTAATAAAAAATAAGGATGACATTGCCTGTGATATTAATAATGTGGTATCTGAAATTAATGATTGTATGGATCTGGAAGATTACCTGAAGACCGTGTTAAAGAAGATTTACAACATTTTTGTGAAATCCTGAATCCTTTAGGTTCTTTAGATTCTTTCCCTAAGCCAAAAAAAAATACTGCGTCTTGGTATTGCAAAGCCTAATGTTATGCGTCCTATCAAATTATTTTTTGAAGATAGTAATGAGGCGATGACTGTTTTACGATCAAATAAAAACAATCCAAATAAACAAACTCACTTCCGCCCGGATCTAACAATATTGCAGAGAAAATGGAATAGTTCTGTTATTGGTCAATTCAATGATAGGAAATCTCGAGGTGAAAAGAATCTGGGTCTAACTTATCGTAATAATTTAGCTCAAATTATTCATAAAAATAATAATGATGCCAGACACGCAAAAAACTAACTCATTTTCATCTATATTATCGGAATGTCCGTGGCTTACGATCTAAGTTGCATCCGTGTTGCATCTTTTCTACACTAGTACTTTTGATGAATTTTATGACATAGTTATTATAACTGAAACATGGTTGAATGATTCAGTTTACAACTCGGAACTCTTTTCTTCAAGTTACAATGTTATAAGATGTGATATATATATTTCATTTTGGGCCAGTCTTCAGGGGGTGGTGCTTTAATAGCCATAAACCAGTCAATTAATTTCGATACCTTGGACGTATCATTTATAACGGACCTTGTACCATCTGCTGATATGGTTGTGTGTAAATGCTGGCTGGATAATTTTATATTCTACATTGCTGCAATATATATCCCGCCTAATTTGTCTAACAGTCATTTTATAGTACTTTTGGAAGTTCTTGAATCTTTCTTCCTGAGTAAGGCTGTTATTTTCATTGGTGATTTCAATTTAACCCACTTCAGAAGTGATGTACCTCTGCCTCCTTTAAATATTTTACAAAATTTTCAGAATTTTTGTCGATCACTTAATTTTGAACAATTTAATAATATACTTAATGCCAACAATAGGTTGTTAGATCTCGTCTTATCTAATATAGAATTCGACATTGAAGTTGAGAGAAATAATCTTCTTTTTGTGCCTGAGGATCGTCTTCACCCTGCGCTTTCTATATCGTTTGAACGTAAATACCCATCAAAACATCGACAGTTTCCGACAGCAAACAGTTGGAGATATAACTTTAAAAAAGCTAATTATGATCAGTTATATTATGATATATTCAATGCTGATTGGTCTGAAATTGGACTAGTTAAAGATGTTAATACTGCATTAGACATATTTTATAACATTCTTTACAAAATTCTGGACTTGTCTGTGCCTAAATATTCTCCAAAATGTCAAACTTTCATTATTATCTAATCTAAAATTGAAGGAGTCATATAGAAAAGAGTGGAAGAAATACGGCAACCAATTTTATTTTGAGGAATTTAAGAGACTTCGTGTGTTATGCAAACAAATGATTAACGCTGCTTATGCATCTTACTTGAAAAAGATTGAGCATGAACTGTATGTTTGCTCTTTATTTTTTTTTCATCTTATATTTCCATGTAATTATATTTATTTATAATTTTATTTTTATACGTGCATAACGACCTGCGCTTTATAAAACAGAACAAGATATGTTTATGATCAGAATTAAAAAATGTCCCATCTAATAGGTAACACGAATTAAGACTAGTAATGAGACATCATTTTTTAACCTCTGCCTATGCGTCACTGCCAAAAAGGAACAATTATACATATACAGAATTTTGAAATATGCTCGAAAAATAAAATCATATATTTCATCATTTTATTAATTCTAATGCAAAATATGTTGATCGACAATAAAAGCAACACAAAGAAAAAAATCGAACTTAAAAAACGAATCTATTTCAAGGTCAGCGATTTCTTCATTTTGATCGTAGGAAAATAAATAATAATTTGAATACGAAACAATAATTGATCATCGAGTTTTGTGTTTTGACTTCGTACTCAGTTATAGGTATATCTGTTTAACATTAAATTTTCAAAAGTTTAGATTTTTCCAATGTAATCTTGGGTTCTAAAATAAACTGGTAATGTATAATGAATAATTATAATTGAGTATTTTCGTGGTTGATCTTTAAATTATTATTTTCTCAAAAAATTCACTTCATTTCATATCCAATATGTAGCTAACTGAAAACTGATAATAAAGCAACAGATATGACGAAATATGTCGGTAATAGAGTGTATGTATAATACCAATACATCGGGTATGTTTCTGTTTTTGTCTTCGTTCCACACCACTGTATTTACAGTATTTACGCAGGTATACGCTTCCGCCCCTAAAATCCCACGTACGGCATCCTTTGCTCACGTAAATACAGTGTCTGGAATGAAGACAGAAATAGAAACATATCAGATGTGGCGATTTACATATAGTTTTACAACACTTTATCAAAATTTAAAAAAACTACTATGGTATTAATTGAAATTTATTGTTAAGATAATATGGTCAGTTAGATGTGGGTCGTCGTATTCTTTAAAAAGTGGCCTTCGTCAGTGACTTCGTAATGCTTAATTAATAATTATATTCAGAGCGAAAAATACAACGGCTTTATTAGAAATACACCAAAGACAAGTTTTTTTCATTGTAATAATTTCTAAGAATTATATTTCGTAGTTACGTCTTGTAGACCACTTTGTAGTTACGCCACTGGCGGGTGTTAGTGCACTAGTTGACAGCTCAGAACAAAATTCCCTATACGGACTCGGCCTGGTACCGCGTGGGTACCGCCATCAACGTTTTCTAGTGTGGTGATAGTGCACGTGTGTCCAAAATGCCGAAGCGAAAACTAGAAAAATTGGAGCAGTGTCGATTGGCAAAGCTGCGAAAGAAGCTCACTAAACTCGAAACGTTGCTGGGCACAGTTTCCTCAGGTAGGTAACCACTAATTATTTCAGTATTTCTAGAATAGCGAAATTCACCCCAAGGACACCCCTCATGTGCAACAAGGGTCAACCGCCATTTGCAAAATTCATATATGTGAATTCCACACTGCCTCCCCAGGGTCCCTTAATTTATTCTTATCACCTGGGACTCGTTGAGAGGCACTAGACGTTCTATATATGTAGATACCTTTTGTTGCCAGGGACACACAGTGCCACCTTCCTTTTTTACGGAGTGGCTCGCTGACGCCGCTATATATGTAGAGTGCCAATTATTAAGAAGGCTATATTAATCCCTCGCTGCCGCCTTTATATATGTAGAGTGCCAATTATTAAGAAGGCTATATTAATCCCTCGCTGCCGCCTCTATATATGTAGAGTGCCAATTATTAAGAAGGCTATATTAATACGGCTCTCTCCTTTCAGAGAGTTCTCATTCAGAGCAGTCCGATGAGCAGTTCGACCAGTCTGAATTCGAGACACATTCAGACTCCTCTGTGTCTGTTCAGTCTACAGACGTCCCCCAGCAACCAACAACACCACCAAGACTGCCAAAGGAACTCGATCTCCACCCAGAATTTGTCTCCTTACTGGGTGTCGATCCCAATACAGCTAATAGCCAGGATACGAGTCTTAATGAACATCTGGTGAAAAGATGGTCCAGTTATGCATCACTGAATTACAAAGCAAGGGAGCAATTGAAGAATGCAAATACTGTCCAGAGGAGATTCTTTCTCCTTATTTCCTGGTTAAAAAACCAAATGGCTCAAATCGGTTTATTCTAAATCTACGACATCTTAATACCTTCAGTACGGCTCCTCATTTTAAGTTAGAAGATTACAGATCGGTAAAACATCTTTTGACCTCAAATGCATTCATGGCCACAATTGATCTGCAGGACGCCTACCTTATTATTCCAGTAGAGAAGAGCTCTCGTAAATATCTTCGTTTTAAGTATGGTCAAACATTATTTCAGTTTGCATGCCTACCCTTTGGACTCTGTACTGCACCGTTTGTATTCACGAAGCTTTTAAAACCCCTTAGTTCCTTCCTTAGGGAAAGAGGTTATTGTTCGGTATTTTACCTGGATGACCTGTTGTTAATAGCGGATTCTAGGGCTGAATGTTCTACAAATGTCAGAGTAACTGTCACACTTTTGGAACGCTTAGGCTTTGTTATTCATCAGGACAAAGGTTGCTTAATACCCCAGCAACAATGTAAATTTTTGGGTTTCTTTTTTGATAGCACCAATTTAACTATTACATTGCCCTTAAATAAAATTGACACCATGCAAAAAAGATGAATGGCTCTCAAGGGCCAGGGCCACTGTAGAATTCGAACCTTTTCTCAAGTGTTGGGTTCTCTAGTATCTCTCTGCCCTGCTATCCCTTACGGACACTTGCATTTAAAACTCTTAGAACAGTCCAAATTCGCGGCCTTGAAAAAATCTCAAGGAAATTATGGGGGCACCAAAAGAATATCAAATATTGTCCAGGGCGAGCTTACTTGGTGGCAAACAACAATCCCCTCAGCCTTGCACTCACTAGTGCCTCCTTCGATTTCTATGGAAATTTTTACAGATGCTTCAAAAACTGGGTGGGGGGGGGGCTTGTGGAGAGCAAAGCACCACCTAGAGTGCAGCCCAAGCTAGTCTTACCCTTTTTTAAGACCAATCCCAAGTTGTGTGTTGCCTCAACCTTAAAACACTATGTAAAGATTACAGCTCCGCTACGAGGCTCCATTCAGCAGCTATTCCTGACCCATAAAAAACCCCATCGAGCAGCATCGGGTCAAACCATCGCCAGGTGGATACAGACTACACTTAGCAGGAGTGGAGTCGACACGCAAAAATTTGGTGCTCATAGCACTCGACACGCATCCACATCGTCAGCAAGCAGGGCAGGAGTTAGCTTAGAGGTTATTAAAAGCGTAGCAGCTTGGGGACCAAAGTCCGCGGTTTTCGCCCGATTCTACAACCGCCCTCTTTCAAACACACACACTTTTGCCGAAACTGTGTTAAAACCGTTTTCCGACAGCGAAAACTTAAACGTAGATAAAATTGTTAATTATTCCTTGTCATTCATACATCTGTTTTGCTACACAAATAAGTTACAGTTAAATCCATAAGGTTGTAACCACTCGTTAAATTGTAAGGCTGGCATTACAGCCAATGGTGTTTTTCACATGAACAGATTGGTAACGGCGCAAGTGTCAAAATTTGACAATTACGCACGAGAGAGTTTTATTTAAATATATCACAGTTTGTTATAACCATATCATTGAAAAAATGGTACCAACACGGCATATTGTGATAAATAAGCAGATGAAAATGGCACTTGCCAACTGCCACAATGAATTGAAACTTGCTTATCCCCAAGCATCCTCCCGAGAACTTGAATTCAAGCTTGTAAAAATCTTTTCAGTATGTAGTTATTCTTATACCATGGAAAGAGAGTACTATACTATGAGAGTAACGTATCGACATTCGGAACTTTTTTCATGTTATTACAACATGGTGGTCTGTCGAAGGACTTTTAGTTTTAACTACCTCAAGTTGAAAGTGTATATCGCTTTTTAGTACAACATTGTCTTTTCAAGTTTTGTACCCACTCTTTATATCCTACACAATACAACTAAATGTCCCTCATTAAATTCAAGCACTGCATACTTTCCCTGTAAACTTATCATTAATTCCTATCCTTTCCATAGTGTTCCGATGTCAGGCCCACAAAATTATAACCCAACACCAGTCTGGAGAACCGTTACAAGAAGCAAAGTGGAAACCAAAACAAAAATCGCAGTGGTATTCAAATTTGGAATTTAAAGAAGATCTAACCTACTGTATATTTGACCAAAACAAAAAAAAAATGAGTTTTACTCTTCAGGATTTGTTTATTTTTGCGAAAGAACATCCAGAATATACAGCAAGTTTAAATACTTTACATCGAGTATTAAAATCCATGGGATTCAGATTTAAGAAAGTTAACAACAGAAACATAATTTCTTTTTGGCTATTTGGTCTATGTGTTCCCAATGTTTCTAACCACTCCTGTAACAGTAAGTTTAAATAAGTCGTCAAATTATTTTCAACATACCGATTATTTTAGCCTCTGAATTTTGTGAAGTTACATTTTGTAAATAATAAGTAGTACCAAATACTAGAGTTATTAAACATAACATTAAAGACTTGTTGGTGTCCCATTTTTTTGATGAAAAATTGGTCATCCGTTGCGGCTAATTAAGGTGATCTACCCATTATAGACAATTTTGGTGTTGCTCGCGAGATTGATCATTTCAGTCGAGAGAGCTGGTCCTTCGAGTCATATCATATTAAGTTTATCGTTATTTCTAAAAAAGAGTACCACATGTTCATTCAAAGAACGTTATTAAGTGTACTAAAACATAAATATCGCTTTTGATTAATCGGTGCTTATGATTTTCAATAAACAGTATCAATTTTTACCGAACAGCTTTGTTGCTGATACCTAATCTAAGCAACGAAAAAAGAGACGAGACTCCACTTCTCTGGTGTATTGAAATCATAGGTATCTGCTGTGGTGTCAATCATGTGGGGGAGATACTGAAAACGGAGACTTATTCAAGAATAAACTTAATATCAGGGATATGATGCATAGTGAATTCTGAAAATGCACTACTTTTCGTTAAAAAGAACAACACATTATTCACGGGGCTCTAAGAAAATGACTTCTAATACCTGCTCTTCGGTATCTACACGATGTCTAATAGTAATAAATGTATTATTTGCCTACGATGAAATGAAACAGCTTCTTTTATGACATGTACAGCCCAGTTAAACACAATTTAACTAGAATGGCAGCAGAAATAACTTCTGTCCCATGCTACTTGCCTTAAAGTAAACCTTGACGTCTCTGTGTACATTAATCAGTCATCTTTGGGGGCAGAAGCGTCTGTTCAGGTCAGTGATGAACTTCGTGACAGTTTATGACAAACAATTGTCAAAATGATTAAATTTATAACCACACTTCTGTTTCCTTTTGTTGACGGAGGGGGATTCGGAAAAAATTCATTCAACTTTAGCATTACTGGATTTTTTGTTCTTGGCATAGGTAACTTTGAACATAGAAACGTTCGGATATAAAAGCAGCCTCTCTATTGGTCAACTTAATCGCCTTCCAGTTCTCACACGGTTAAAGCCTGGACAATTCTTTTTGCGAATTACGGCACAGTTCGGGACAGGGAACATGTCATTCACGGGAATGGCGCGAATTCTGGGACACCTGTATACTGAGAGTCATATGTTTACGATGTTGCGATATATACGTAACGTCTATGGCCATTTAATAGGCAGTTAGCGAAAGTACGGAACATTCAACGTAACGTTATTTTTTAACGGAGACATGTTAAAAATCACGTTCGCAACCGTTACTTTTTACGTACGTTATTGAGATATTTGCGAAATTACGATACGTATCACGATACTATTGAAATAACGTTGCCAAGGAGTCTGTTGATTTATTTTAAACGTTATTTTCATCGTGAATTTCAAAAAGTTGCGTTGAACGTTGAACTGTGAACCGTACAATGGAGAGCTGCAGAAATGTTGCATCAAATTCAAAAGTAAGTGGTACGTTCGTTCTCGTAGGTATTTTAAAAAACACGTTGTCTTTAGAGATTTATTTTCAATGTGGTAAAAGATATCGAACTCCTAGAATCAGCCATTGGGATCAACCCATTTCAACTGGGTAATCGGAAATGGGAGGATGTAAGCCTAGACCTGAAGACAAAATATCAGTACGTCGTCTCCGCAAGAACGTGCCGAGAAAGGGTTCTGTGTCTAGTTAAGAAGTACAGAACGAATGAATTAAAAACGAAAACTGGGACAGAGGAACAGCGGAGCAGACGGGGGACATTATTACAAGAAATAATTTCCATTGTCGATGGAGAGCAAGCTGCTATAGATGAAGAGCTGGCAGCTGACGAAGACGAAGTTATTAGTGAATTACAAGAGGAAAGTACTTCGATAAGACCAAATAATAGAATTAAGGAAAAACAACAAGCCGATAAAGAACGAGAGCAGATTTTAAAGCGGTGCTACATTGATGCGGCTGATGGACCAAAAGTTCAGCGCTCTAAACGGCAAAAAACGGAAGAAGATTTAATAAGACAAAAATTACTTCATGATATGGAACTTGGAAACAAACGCTTTGACTTAGAAGCAGAAATAAAAAAGAAGGAAGTTGAAATTGAGGAGAAGCGCGTTAATCTGGAGTTGCAAAGAGAACAAAGATTAGCAGAAGAAGCACTCAGAAACCATGAGACAATGACTTCAATTAGTAGAGCTCTTCAAATCATTAGTAATTATTCTGTATCCAAAAACAATTCATTTTGATTACAATAATTATCTAATGTTCCTTCTTCGTTCTCTTTGTAACTCCAGAGCGTTTTTCTTCAATTTCAGTATGTTTCTTAATTAACACTAATGTTATTGTAATAATATGTTATTATATTTAACTTTAAACACACAAAAAAAAATTAAATTGTTTCAATATGCTCGTAAGATAGAACCAATAAAAATGTTAATTACAAAGCATTTATTATTCTGTATTTTGTAAATACACTTCTAAATCCGGAGGATTACACGAAAACATCACAGAAACTTGACTCCCCCTTAAACAAGTGTGACAGTTTGTAAGTAGTGCACCTACAATGTATTGTTTTATTAAATTTTGTAAGAATAACTTTTGATTTTTTTTAAAGTCCAAAAATGCAAATAGTTGGATTAATTTTCCAAAACCATATTCAACACTAACCCTTACAGCTGACATATCCTTGTTGAAATTTTTTTGATGATCTGTTAGTGTTAACGTGTTTTTATAACCAACTTTGATAAATCTTTGATTTGCATATCCGGGGTCTCCATACAAAATGAAGTTGGTACCATTATCTTGTACGAATATTGTTTGTAATTCACGTAATAATCCAGTTAAGTGCAAAATGGCGGAATCATGTCTTCTACCATTAATGGGTCCATCTAAACGCCCTATAATTCCATTTGGCAGCACAGTGGATTGATATTTTAAAACATGCTGTTTTTTATATCCGCTGTAAGTTAAGCGTTGGCCATGTTTTGGTCTACAAATCGGTCTTGCTGTCCCATCTATGAAACCCACTACATTTGGGTAAGCACAACCAGCAGCACTGATGATATGACTAAATCGTTCCAAACAGTCTCTAGTTAATCACTTATGGCTTTCAAGAAAAGTAAGTAAATGGTTAAACTTGTTATAAATGAAATGTGTCATCCAGTTAGCAATTCTTGATATAACAGTGGAGTCACGATAAAATATAGCTTCTAAATCAGATAAACGGTTGGGATAACAAAGCCGTCTCAGTAAAATGAGCATTCCTTCAAACCCAGAAAATTTTATTCCATTGCTTAATGTGCAAATTTTTGGAATTCCCAGCCCATTATACAGACGCATTAGTTCATTTTTGTTGAAACGGAAAAGCTTGTCACACTCGGTATCACTAATACTATCGATATCTACTAAAAGTTTTCATTTTCCGGAAACCACGTTGAATGGTTGCTTTTCGATTCTGAAGCAATGTGTGATAGTATTCTATATTTATAATTCCTCTTAAATAAAGTCTTCTTAATTGATTTGAGGTATACTCCATGTTTAGTAAAGCACTCAAGGTTATTAAATGCAAAGGCCAAATGCAGAATGACAATAAATTGTTACCGCCAACATATACACGTATGCTTGTCAAAATAGGTACGTTATTTCGCAAAATTTTAAATTAAATTACGTGAGATGTATAGACGTTCACGTTAAACTAGGACGGATAAGTTCTGCGTTTCGTATTTTCGCAATTTGTGTACAGACATTTACGTTAAAATTGTACGGATACGTTGTACGTTCCGTATTTTCGCTAACTGCCTATTGACTCCGACCGTGGAACCTCTGAAATGAATGCTTGACAACATAACGTCAATTCAACGCACTTTCGTGTGCCTTTTATACGCTCACTGTTTAGTTTTCTGTAAATTTTCTCACCTCAGAAGGTGAATTTTAACGTCCTCTATACAGTGGGGTATGTTTCGGTGCGTACAATTGAAGATAAAAATGGACGTTAAACGTATTGTCAGACTGTCACCCAAACTTCTCTTATAAAACAATCTCGTGTTCGTGTGGTGTTATCTGATGTTGCCTAGCAACAAATATATAATAATATTCACTGCCTGAAAATTGCTGAAAATGTATGACGCTGTAACTTTCAGAAGTTAAAACTACGATCAATCTATTTCTTGACCCAAAAAAACCCCAACCTGTAAATTTCATCGAAATCGTTAGAGCCGTTTTCGAGAAACCCATTATAATATATATACAAACTTTGCTCGTTTAATAGTATAAGATTTACAGATTTGACAGGTCCCTATCCCTCCATATGCAGACCATTTAACACAATTCTCGACTATACGAGGATACGAGAACTGTCTAAACTTACAGAACAATCTTAATTGTGTAGTAATTTGTGGCGCAGAAAATTAATTACTTTCAAATAACAAAAATTGGTGTCGTTCGTGTGTCATACTCTTTCTTTACTTGAATTGATAAAAATCTTCAGTCAATGTGCTTTTGACATTTTTATTTGACAAGTTATTTTTAGTTACTAATTTGTCACTAGATTGCAATTTTGCAACATATTGTACAGGTTTTTCGCATCTCACCACTCAGTCACAGTATACCATACAGTAAAGACAGCTCGTCAAATATTGGAACAACGTGTCCTTACCCAACCGTTTTGATTAGGCGGGATTTTTGAAACGAAGTGGAATATTGGTTGCCTAAATTACAAATACAGCTCGTCCGTAAAACAATGTAAAAGGAACTGATATAAACATTGAATGAACTGAAACCAATTTTTGGAGTGTGGTATGAAGACTACGAAGAAAATACCATTTTGAACAATAAAAAAGAATTGTGCTTATATTTATTTTATTCATTAATAAAAGTCTATCACTTTACCAAGTTAATTTCAACATAAACATATCAACTACCTATTTTGTCAACGCCTTCAATTTTCGCCAAGTGTTAACCGTTTGAAGAGTCAGAAAGTGAACGCTGTTGTTTTCATATTCCTTGGGAAAAGTACTTTGATGTTTTTGGTTGAATTTTTGTTGTTAGTTAAATTAGTGAAGTGATTCTGAGAACCTTTTCATAGTAACATGGACTACAGTGGTAGACCACCTCGTGATTGCAGGGACAATGAAAAAACCTGCTTCAGGGGCTTCTTTAAATTTCCCTTGGAATCTGTAAGATAAGAAATATAAAGAAGTATATTATTCTATAATCAATAAAAAATTATTTGGTATGCAATTTTTACAGCACAGTGAAAATTCCAATAGTTGTAATGATTTAGGATCTATTTTACTAGCAATTGAATCTAAAGAAAGCAACTAGTGTCAAATTATTAATACAGTTTTAAGCTGAACAACTTTTGCACATAAATCTGTGGAAGTAAATATCACAGACTACAGACACCTGGACATGGGGGAACAAAATTCTTTAAGTTATGTCTGTGGATACTTAATGAAGAAATGCTTGATGGAATATACCTGTGAAACATGTAGTTATTTTGCCATTGCACGTAATGTCATCATATATGATAAACTTCTCTGTCACTTCAACGCCTTTGATGATGTATGATTGTATTGGATGCAACTGTTGTACAATTCTGTTAAAAAGTACATACACACGTTACGAACTTGCAGTTAAAAATTTGCGATCGTGATGACAACATGTCTGACGAAATGACGAAAATGTACTTTTATAGCTGCTCTCACGGTTTGAATAACATACACTGTTGAGTCATGTCCACACATGATCAAATTTCCATCCAATACAACAGGATTGCTGCTGCAGACAGACTTGTTCACCAACCGTCCACATCCAACCGATTTGCTTGATCGCATACACAGACGTTCAAAAACACTTCAATTTCGTCATATCCAAAACAATTGTACTGCGGCGTTGGAACGTGAGTAGCGAGCTTAAGATGCTACATGAAGCATCCACCTTTTATGTTGCAGCCCTAGAAAAACGATTTGCTTCACTATTTTCTACCAACTTAATTTTACCTTCATGTGGCCGATATATAGAAGCAGTCCTCGTAACTGTGTCCAGACCAGCATACCGCACCCCTGTGCCTTGTGTACAGTTTCCACAAGATTATTTATTCTATTTATTTGTTCGAACGCGCATTTTCTATTCAGTAAAAATAATAAATCACAGTTACAATATTAAATGCCAAACACCTAAAATGTCAAATTTGACGCACAATGTTGACATGGTGGTAAATTTTATTTAGTAACAAGGTTTGCCACTACAGTTTCAAGCCAAAATTCAAGGTCATGCCCTTACCCAACGGTCGATTATTGTTGTTCTGGTCCGTTACGTGTATTTCTTATGGGGCTTTCAAAAGCTGTCCTTACTGTATGATATTCTGTGACTCAGTACACTCAGGTAATTTTTTCCAAATCTGACACTGACAGTGCAGGAGTTTTGCGAACGGACATTAGCTTGACACGCAAAAAATATCGTCAGCGTAATGTTCAAAGTGTGTAAACTCGAATTTTTCAGAAATTGAGATTATATTTTATATTATCGATTGTAAAAACAAAATGCATCAACCAGACAAGTTCCGATGCTGTCGGTGTTTGGTGATTTCTTTTTAATCTAATTTAGAAAAAGACGTAGCTCCATTGAGATACTTTTTGATTTAGCAAAATGCTCAACTCGATGTGGATAATGAAGCAACTGTTTTATTGTTGAAGTGGGCGAGGTGTTTTTAATATAATTTCTTTTTTCACTAGCAGCCATGACGCATGCAAATGTCGACTCATTTAGTGGTAGCAAATTCAACTTTTGCGACCACCGGTTCAAAAAGAAAAATTGAGGTTATGTACGTAATGTTTGATGTGATTATTTCTTAAAAAATGAACAAATGTGTGCTACAAACATTACTTGAGTAGTTGGTAAACGGTAGAAGATAAAATGATTAACTCAGCGACAAGTATAAACGGTTTTCTTTGTGTTGAAGATTTAGATTAAGTTTGATTGGAAATGAAAACAAAATCATGTTGCGTCAAAAAATTGAACGTTTATTTTTTCAGTTTATTGTCTTATGGTTTCTACAAGTGAAAAAAATAGTATATTAACCACGGTTGCAAAGCCACTTCTAGACCTCGCGCTTCAGAGCCCTCGACGCTGCGCGTCTCGGGTTCTAATTTGCGCTCGGTCTAGAATGCTTGGCTCTGCAACCTTGGCTAATAATATACTATTTTGGCCTCCCGATCTGTAAAGAGCTCATTCATGAGCGTCTTATGTACCTACCCGGTAATTACGATTTTACAGTCATTCGTTGATTTACCACGTCGCGGTGCGACAACTACATTAATACAGTCATGCTAGACAAGAGTGTGTGAGCGTGAATTCACTAAGAATAATTTGTGTAGTTTACATAATTGAATTTGAATATTTTCCAAAACATATTTGACTTTTATATTCATAATGGGTCCAAAAGTTAAAAAGGATACTACTGATCTACATAGTGTTGTTAACCAGTGTTTGGCTGATTTTTTCAGTTAATTTACAATCCAGTGCGACTGTCAAGATAGTTTCTCTACTTTAATTGAAGAATTAACAAACTGCAAATCCTTGATTACGACACAAAATGCATTCATTTTGAGCCTTCAAAATGAAGTAAGTGCTCTTAAGCTAGAATTTGTACTTTCAAAAACGGTGGATAACTTCAATAAATCGATAACGAGAGATAATGTTTTCAATGTTTTTACGGACCGATCATCCTTCTACATATGTAAATATGCACCGAGGAAGTGACAATAGACCTTTACCGAAATCATTCGCCGAAACAGAAATAAAAGAAGTATTGGATCATATAGAAGATTCTTCATCCGAAGATGATGATGAATCAGGAATAGACCGGGAAATTATTGCAGACATTCATTCTCCTCCGAAAAATGATAAAGTAACCACCAATATGAACAAGTCGAGAACAAGAAAAAGCAAAAACCTAAACAGAAAGCTAAAAAGCCTCTAGAAAACAAATTATATAATTGGTACTAACCAATCCAATAATTCGATGACTTTACAAGTAGCTACTAAAAAAGCATTCTTCTATATATCCCGGCTTAGTCCCGATACTACCTCAGATCAAGTAGTTAATTTTCTAAAAGCGGATTTCCCGGAAGTAACATGCGAATCCGTTCTATCCAAGTACCCTGAACGCTATTCGTCTTACAAAATAACAGGCGACCATCTTAATAAAGATAAAGTTATGGATGCTGATAGATGGCCCCAGGGAACGTATATTGCAAGATATTTTCAAAAACGATCCATGAAAGAAAAACCATCAATTTTTCCCTTGGTGAAACAACCCATACAACAAATGAAAACATAGGCGAAAATAAACAAGTGCGTAATTACATCTCGCTGCGTTAAAGACTTTGCACAAGTGTACTACCAAAATGTTCGCGGACTCAGGTCCAAACTGATGAGCTTCTATAACTTAGTTTTGTGTGACGATCATCCGTATATCGTACTTAGTGAAACATGGTTAACGAAATACATAAAAAATTCCTAGAATGTATGAGGTTTACCGATGTGATCGTGATTATACATCTGAATATCAACGAGGTGGAGATGTTCTAATTGCCGTTAAAAACTCTGCTACAGTAAGTCGAATAGATTTGACATCTTTACGGCAAAATATTTCACCTATAATTAACATTGTGGCCTGTAAGGTTAAGTGCAATACTAAAAAGACACTGCATATCGTTGCTGTATATATATTCCACTAAAGATTAGTCTGCAAGGTTTTGAAGAATTTTTAGAGAGTCTTGAGACTTGTAGTTATATCAACTCTAGTTCTCACGATGTTATAATAATAGGTGATTTTAATGTTGTATTATATAACACTAATCAAGATGAGACAAAATGTAGGACTTTGTACAATTTTCAGCAGTACGTTAATTTTTCTCAATTTAATAATGTAGTCAATTATAATAGTCGTACCTTAGATCTAGTTCTAAGTAACATTAAATGTGATGTATCTGAAGACGATCATGCATTGGTACCTGAAGATAAACATCATCCTTCTTTGTTAATAACAGTTCGCTCTTCTACTCTCTCTCGCAATAGTGTTAATTTCTCGCCAGATTTTAGTTTCAGCAGTTACAATTTTTCGAAAGCGAATTTTGTCACGATGTACGATTTATTTCTTCATACAGATTGGTCTATAGTAAAGCAATATGACAATGTAAACAATTGTTACTTAGTTTACTCCATATTTGAACGTACTGTTCCTCAACGTGCACAAAAATCTAATCGGTTATATCCTATATGGTTCACTAACATTAAAAAGAAGCAAAAGGCTCACAAAATGTATAAGAAATGTAAAACACATTATTGTAGCAAATATAAAGATCTCAGAAGTTTAGTTAAGAAACAAATCAACTCACTCTATAAAACTCATATGAAAAAGTGTGAGTCACTTCTATGTGAAGATCCATCAGGTTTTTAGAATTTTGTGCGTGAAAAAAATGGACAACCGAGAATTTCAGGTTTAATGCATTATAATGGCAAAGGTCTTTTGACGACTGATGCCATATTAAACGCGTTTAAAGATTATTTTTGCAGTGTTTATGTTGATTTAGATCCAAACAATACTAGCACTTCGGTTTTTTCTGATAATAAGGAAGGGCATTTAAATGTAAAAGTTGATATTTTTCATCTTGAAGATATTTTTCTTGGGATTAAAAACCTAAAAAATAAGACATTTTTTGGCTTCGATAATATTCCTATTTTCATCCTGAACAACAATTACAGGCCCATATCAATTCTATCCAATTTATCTGAATTATTCGAATCTATTCTCTATGGATACTTATTTAAGCAGATTAACAATAAAATCTCTTCTGATCAACATGGGTTCGTGAAAAAGAGATCCACTGCGACGAATCTTGCTTTTTTTACAGAACATGTCTCCAAAATTTTAGATTCTCAGGGACAAGTAGACGTAATCTACACAGATATACAAAAAGCCTTTGACCAAATTGATCTTTATATACTTTTACAGAACTTTGGGTTTTCGAATTCATTATGTAATCTTTTTTCATCATATCTTTTTAATCGTAAACAAGTAATTATGTACAAAAATTGCACATCTCCATCTTTTAAAGTTACATCAGGAGTTCCCCAAGGTTCTAATTTGGGGCCACTACTTTTCCTTATATTTATTAATGACCTACCCCCACTTTTAAAATGTCTTAAAGCTTTATTTGCTGATGATCTGAAAATATTCAATAAAATCTGTTGCGTCAACGATTGTATGCATCTACAGCACGACTTAAATGTAATTAATATGTGGTGTGAAACCAATAAGTTATGTCTTAATAGCGACAAATGCTACATTACGTCCTTTACCAGAAAGAAAAAAAATATTCACTTTGATAAATATCTATTATTTTATTTGGAGTTTAAGTGATACTTTATGTGACGGAGTATGGACGATTAAACGCCGAGCAATAGCGAGGCGAATTAAGTCCATACGAGTCACATAAAGTCACTTAAACTCCGAATGAAATACAATATTTTATTTTCAATCGATTAATCTTGTTTTGAAATGATTATTTCCCATCTTCTTGCTTCATTAAGGAATTGCCTTGATTTCACTTACCATGGTTACTATGGTTGATAACCACAATGATTTTCACATATTTATACTCCGGCGGAGTATAAATGCTTTATTTATACGCCGGTGGAGTATAAGCAGTACTTATACGCCGCTCAAACACGGTGTCATAGAAATGACACTTAAACCCCGGTAAGACCGTCATATAAGTGTCAGTTATATGACGTTTGAAAATAAACTCTACTATTATTATTATAAAATAACTCGAAATTTTTTAGGCTTAAGATGCTTTTAAAAAATAAATTGTTCTACAAATAATAAAGGATTTTGTTCAACAGAATATTTGAGAAATTAAGAAAATTTTAGTTAGAAAAGCCATGGCCGACTAGTATAAAGATTATGGCCTGTCCAAGAGGTACCATACGTGTTGCCATCTATTAATAATTACACTTAATAATTTTTATTCAATTTTAATTTGACTTGACATTATGAGACTTCAAAACGTGTAATGGTGGTTTGTTTTGGTATGAATGCCTTTGTGCCTTTCAAAAAGTGTTAATAATTCTTTTGTCGTTTTTGAATTATTAATAGATGGCAGCACGTATGATACCTCTGGACAGGCCATAATCTTTATACTAGTCGGAAAAGCAAAATGTCAACAAAATATTTTGACATTCTTCTTTCGTTGCAAATGTTTGAACGCAACGCCTACTGCAAAATTGTTTAAAGCAGCGTACTCGATACCCAGTTACAATTTCGCTGAGTTTGAGTTCGGCCATTACTTTAATAGTGTTTTTATTCCTCCGTCTCCTCTTGCTGCTGACAGCAACTTTGTACATTGCAACCCCGGATCGTCGATAATCTGGTATTTGGAAAAAAGTCATGATTTGTCCATTTTTCAAAAATGGTAAAGCTAATCAAATTTCGAATTACAGATCTATATCCTTGCTTTGCAATTTTGTGAAAACTTTTGAATCAATTTTATATAAATACATCTATAGTTCAATTAAACATTTAATAAATAAATATCTGGTTGACCGAGCTTCACTCGGCTCGTTTGGTAGTATTAGATCAGATTAGGAGAGATAAATATCCGTATAGTATGCATTTTGAAGTACACGCGCTAATTCAAAATACACATTACAAAAGAAATTCCATAAGCAGTATTTGTTTTAAATACTGATGAGTGACATGTAGAGATTAAAGAATAGAAAACTGGAATTATTGTTTGACATTTATTAAAATCTCATTTGTTACCCAAGTTCTCTCTGTGTCGTTCTTTTTTTTTCCTAGTTTTCTCTCTCTCGACTCTAGAAAAAGGTCACAACCACATTCTTACTGCCAGAAGAGTTTCACCTCTGGTGTGGTTAACATACTGAGATTATACCGTGCTCTTTTGCGTTATTCCTAATTTCTCAATCTTAACTCTGCTCCAGAAGATGCCACTTACGAAAGTGTGCGAAACGTTGAGCTAAAAAACTCAAATAACACGGTCCCATCCCGGAAAACGATGACATATTGACTCCGACCGTGGAACCTCTGAAATGAATGCTTGACAACATAACCTCAATTCAACGCACTTTCGTGTGCCTTTTATCCGCTCACTGTTTAGTTTTCCGTAAATTTTCACAGCTCAGAAAGTGAATTTTAACGTCCTCTATACAGTGGAGTCTGTTTCGGTACGTACAACTGAAGATAAAAAGGTAGGGGAATGTGGGGCAAAGCGGACCGCTTAATAAAATATAAATAATTACACACTCAAGGGTAGCTCATCACAAGCTATTTTTGCGCGTAGTAGTAGATACATATATTATGTATCAATCCCTAATTTTTAAATTGAAACTTTTGCAACAGCATTTTAAATTCTCTTTTTTTTAGAAATCTCTGCAAATGTTGTGCTTTGCCCCATATATGGGGCAAAGTGAAAAAGGATGAGGGGCAAAGTGAAAATTCGAATGATATGTAAAAATAACTGCTTATTATAAAAAAAAGATGAAACTGGAATATAAAGAATAAAAATTTAAAATAAAAAAATACTCAAATAAAACAAATTAAAAATTAAAAACAAAAACAAAAAAATCCCTATTCGCCTATTAATAACATTGAAACTAAAGAAAAAAGAAAAGAAAGGTTTACTTAAATTATGTTATTTGAATTTTGCCATGCCTCAGATTATTTGCCTTTACCTTGCCTACTATTTCCTCATAAAATATTTCAGTTTCGTCAGACACGTCAGGAAAGACAAAAATATCTGTAGTTTGTCTCAGAAAGCTTACAATTACACAACCATTTTCTTGAATATTTATAAAGCAAATATCATACAAATTGTTTTTTTGTATGATACTTTCCGTCGGTCAATTCAGTCAAAAGAGAATCACCTAAAAGAAAAAGATATTTTTCTTTTAATTGCCGTACTTTGGCAGATCGTTTAGATTCCACTTGAAGTTTTATCTCCTCCATATTTGGGGTAGAAGTCAAAATCATTGTTTTTCCCTTTCTTTTTCCTCTTGCCGATTCTGTTCGTGAACCTGCTTTAGGCAGAGGCATCAGATCTTCAGGTGTGAAATGTAAAACGACTTGTGGAGAGGGTGTTCTTTCTTTTGAGCAACCCGCACGAGGTGACATGGTTCTGTTAGCTTCAGCAGTAGTAGCGGCATTTCTATGCGCTTCACCATTAGGCTCTTTCCTATTGGTGGTTTCGTCTGGGAAAATATTTCGATTATACGGAAAAATGCCTGTATTTTTAAACCCATTGCATGCTGTTTGGACAGTCGCGGCTTTTTGATACGCATTTCCAAACAGTTGTGCAATTTCATATAATGTTATTATTTTACCAGGATTGTGTCTTAGCTATGCTCGTGTTTCTTGTGGGTAATATATGTTAAATGCAAAGTCAAGTGCGATGCGAACAATGAGGTGGCAAGACAAGGATGTGCACATGATTAGCTTTCGCTTTCTCTATTAAATTTAAATTTTTGGTGTGTCGCGTGACCATCCAAAATTCTTCAGAAGGTCGGGCATATTTTAGGAAATGTTCGAACCAGACGTCACAGAAAATATCCGTCTGCATCCATCCAGACTGGAGACATTCTACGATTGACTCGGGGGGGCAAACCGTTTTCAAAACCTGGGTTGCGCCGTACTCGGGGAAAGATCAGCAGTGGAGGTACGTAGACCCCAGCAGCACCGAAACCAGTGATCCTCATTCTGCTGATGAGGAGCATCCAACCTTCTTTTTTCCTTTTAATCATTCTTAAAAATCTTGCTGGGTGGAAAATGAAATTTATCGATCAAACTCCCCAACAACTTAAAAAAGTTGCCAACATTAGTCGGATTAAAAGCAGAAGCCGAAGTTTTTTCTGGGAGACGCAATGAGATATTTTTTTGTCTACCTAAAAACTTGTACACCCAACCACGTTCCGCTAATCCAGTATTGTGATTAAAACTATTAGGAGTATTGTTCTTAATAGCACATTGATATTTCAAGTTACCCACTTTTTTAAAGCTTAACCCAAATAAACGACTCTCCATTTCTAATATGAATTCTGCCAACTCTTTTTCTTGATTGTGGGTATTGGATGTTGACTTAAATCTACCCAATGACTTACTTGAAGCTTCATTAACGTTTTTCTCCGATTTCACACGTCGATATAACGTTGTTGCCGGAACTTGATACTTTAAAGAAGCAGCTTTTAATTTCAATGTCCCACGTCGCACATCCCTAATTGCTGAGGCCATGGATTCTTTAGACCACGATTGTTGATTTGTTTTTCGTTTATAATTTCGCACCATGTTGATATAATTCTGAAAATACGATTCAGTGTTTTTACCTTGTTTTGTATGGGGCATAGTGGAAAAATATTCGCTTTACCCCACACAACAATTTTCCACTTTACCCCATAGTAGCAACCGACAAGAAACAAATTGAGGTTCCAGCTTTAAGATAGAGAAACAAACTGAAACTTACCTTCAACGAAAGACAAATGCCGCACAAATGACACTGATATAGCAAAAACTTGGAATGTTGTTTAACAGTTACCATAAACCTTCGTAAAACACACCGTTTTTTTACATCCAACGGCAAGAATATTTTGTTTTTACAACTGCAGGCAAACCGATGGGAGTTTTAGAGGAAAATTACACTAAAAGAACCTTTGATATGTAATTAACATAGTTCAGTACGTTAACCACAGATGGCATCATTTATTTAATTTTTAAGCAAAAATTCCACTTTACCTCCACGTTCCGCTTTGTCCCACATTCCCCTACGTCAAACGTACTGTCGGACTGTCACCCAAACTTCTCTTATAAAACAATCTCGTGTTCTTGTAGTGTCATCTGATGTTGCCTAGCAACAAATATAATTCACTGCCTGAAAATTGCTGAAAATGTATGAAGCTGTAATTTTCAGAAGTTAAAACTATGATGAATCGATTTCTTGGCCCAAAAAACCCCCAACCTGTAAATTTCATCGAAATCGTTAGAGCCGTTTTCGAGAAACCCATTATATCTAGATATATATATATATAAACTCAAATCCATAAGGTTGTAACCACTCCCTAGTGTAAATTTTAAAAAATTATTCAGTGTAAATCTGTCTTTTAGTAACCTGGTAACATATCTGGTGACCTGTCAATATAATGTCAGTTCATTCATGTATTCGCGACACATGATTACGTTCGATTTCATTGCAATTCTTGCACTCCTGCACAAGTTATTTCATAATTATCATTGTAACTTGTCGCAATATTGTAAAAATTGATAAACAATTTTCAATAAAAACACGATAACCTGAGTCTTCATGGTAATTATGATACAAGAGCAACGATAAATAGAAACGTGTTTTATCTTTCATCTGCAGAAAGAAGAATACCACCTACTGTAATTTAGACTTGCAGTCGATACGTTTACGAATTACGATAAAACGAACCCAAAAATACGAGTCACGAATGAAATCAGATATTGGGCTGGTAAAAAAACAAGGTGAATTGATTTATTTATTGTTGCTACTTTATAAAAATCGCTTTACAGATGGGGAATAACTGAATACCTAATTCAGAATTTGTTTAAATTATTGTACATGAGTGTACGGGATATATGTGTGGCTAACCATGATATGATTTGACTCGAAGGACCAGCTCTCCCAACTGAAATGATCAATCTCGCGAGCAACACCAAAATTGTCTATAATAGGTAGATAACTGTTCACCTTAATTAGTTGCAACAGTTGACCAATTTTTCATAAAAAAATGAGACACCAAGAAGTCTTTAATGTTATGTTTAATAACTCTCATTTGGAACTACTAATTATTTACAAAGTGTACAAGGAATTTGGTTGAAGGTGATAGGTGGAGGAGCATAGCCACTATGCTCCTCTGTCCTGAGGATTTTAGTGGTAATAATGAACAAAATGTAACTTCACAAAATTCAGAGGCTAAAATAATAGGTATGTTGAAAATAATTTGACAGTTTATTTAAACTTACTGTTACAGGAGTAGTTAGAAACATTGGGAACACATAGACCAAATAACCAAAAAGCAAAAATTTTTCTGTTAACTTTCTTAAATCTGAATCCCATGGATTTTAATACTCGATGTAAAGTATTTAAACTTGCTGTATATTCCAGATGTTCTTTCGCAAAAATAAATAAATCCCGAATAGTAAAAAACTATTTTTTTTTTTTGTTTTTGTCAAATATACAGTAGGTTAGATCTTCGTTAAATTCCAAATTTGAATACCACTGCGATTTTTGTTTTGGTTTCCACTTTGCTTCTTGTAAAGGTTCTCCAGATTGGGGTTGGGTTATAATTTTGTGGGCTTGACATCGGGAACACTATGGAAAGGATAGGAATAAATGAGTTTACAAGGAAAGTTTCTGCAGTGTTTGAATTTAATGAGGGACATTTAGTTGTATTGTGTAGGATATAAAGAGTGGGTATAAAATTTGAAAAGACAATGTTATACTAAAAAGCGAGATATACACTTTCAACTTGAGGTAGTTAAAACTGAAAGTCCTTCGACAGACCACCATGTTGTAATAACATAAAAAAAGGTCCGAATGTCGATACGTTACTCTCATAATATAGTACTCTTCGTCCATGGTATAAGAATAACTACATACTGAAAAGATTTTTGCAAGCTTGAATTCAAGTTCTCGGGAGGATGCTTGGGGATAAGCAAGTTTCAATCCATTGTGACAGTTGGCAAGTGCCATTTTCATCTGCTTATTTATCACAATATGCCGTGTTGGTACCATTTTTCAATGATATGGTTTAATAACAAACTGTGAGATATTTAAATAAAACTCGCTCGCGCGTGATTGTCAAATTTTGACACATGCGTCGTTACCAATCTGTTCATGTAAAAAACACCATTGGCTGTAATGCCAACCTTACAATTTAACGAGTGGTTACAAGCTTATGGATTTAACTGTATGTATATATATATATATATATATATACAGGGTCATCAAAATTGATTGAGAGAGTTGGTACCCCCTGTTTTTGTCGTGAAGTTTGTCAACCTTATGACAGATTTGTTTAAGGTTATATGGCAATGAATTCAGTGGCGTGACAAAAATTATAAACTTCAAATCTGACAACTAATGTTTTTACCAAAAAAAAAGTCGAAAAAAGACGCCACTGAGTTTTGAAATTTGAAACTTGAAACTTCAAATCTGACAGCTAATATTTTTATACAACTTAATAAACCAAATTATTCAAGTTCAGGTTTACCAACTCTCTCAATCAATTTTGATGACTCTGTATATATATAAATCAATTGCTGTTCGTTAGTCTCGCTAAAACTCGAGAACGGCTGAATGGATTTATCTTATCTTGGTTTTTAAATGTCCGTGGAGGTCTAGGGAAGGTTTAAAAGGTGAGAAAAATTCGAATAATTGCCGGTAAAACCCCAAAAACAGCACTTTTCTTCTTGACAACCAAGTGACAATCTTTTATTTCTAAAAAGACAAAAGACATCAAATGTTTCACAGCTCAGAACATGTTGTATTGGAAAGTAGAATTTCTGTTTTTAGTATTTTTGTTTCTCACCGTTTAAACCTTCTCTGAATTTTCATAAATATTTCAAGACCAAACTAGACTACCTAGACCTAGACTAGATATTAAGTTTTGTTACAAATTAAATTTCTGAACGCAACGATAATATTTGACATTAGATTTGACAACCAACTAATATGTCAATCCATCCTGTTGCACTTTAGAACACGGAAAGAAGTATTACGATATTGTGTTATAATATCTATGAGTGCGCGAGAACTTTCTTTACTTTGGCGATCCTTTGTGATAGTGACATTCCAGGTAATGTGCTCTTTTTTTTTGATATTTTGTGATTGTGACACTTTACTGCTAAGTGAGCGAAAAATTTTCTCACTTTGATTATTTACAATTTACGATGCCGAGGAGAAGACGACCTGACTTAGGTCGTCGCAGTCAATCAAATGTGCGAAGAGCTACCTCACGTGCTAACCGCACTGATGACCAGAGAGAGACAGATCAAGAAAATAGTCGTATTGCTATGTCAGAATTGCGTTATTTAGTGAGTGATAATGAAGTAGCATGAAGTAGATAGGCTTAGAATGCAACGAGTTCGTGCACATCAAACACAACAACAGCAATCACGACATAATGAAATTGATCGAATCCGCAGACGGAATGCTCCTGCGATTCTTGAACGAGCTGCATTCCACTATGATCCGGCAATTGATTATAGTGCCGACAAATCGGTAACAATTGGGGAAATGAAAATAATTTGTAAATATTGTAAGGCGTTAAAATACACTCATGAATCTACTGGATTATGTTGTGCTGGAGGCAAAGTAAAATTGCCACAATTGGTTCCACCACCAGATCCTTTACGATCTCTAGACCCGATTTATAGAAAGCGATGTTAAAGTTAATTCGCGATTAACTTTTAACTGAGGTCCGTTGCCAGGCAACGCACATATTTTAACCAATCACGGGCTCATATTCCACATTTTAATTCTCTGTTAAACTAATCGAGGATTAAATATTTAACTCGATGTTCTATAAACCGGCCCTTAGTTTCTGGGATTGGAAATGATTCTAAGCACTTCTTGGCCAACATTCAGAAATATAACAGCTGTTTCCAGATGACATCATTTGGCGCTACACATATTATACAGGACAATTTCATGCCCACTTTCAAGGTATTATATACCAGAATATTTTTTTATAATATTCAATATGTACTAAAATGTATATATCGGAAATAATTAATCGACAAATTTTTAAAAATTACAGATACAAGGACAAATTTATCACTTATTGGGGACACTGTTACCAGTACCTGATGCAGATTATCAATTTTTACAAATTTATTTTATGGGCAATTCAGATGCGGAAGTTGATAATCGTTGTGCTCACAATCCAACAGTGAAGAGAACCATTGTCCATGAATTACAAATGTTTCTTCATCAGAATAACAATTTAGTAAACATGTTTAAATAGCATTGGATCGGATGCCATCTGATAGGCATAATATTATCATTCGAGCTGACAAAACACCTGCCAGTGAACACACAAGGAGGTTTAATTCACCTACCATTGACGAAGTGGCTGTTGTCATTGTGGGACAAAATGTACAATCTAGAGATATTGTGCTTCATCGTCGGAATAGTGATTTAAAACGTGTATCTGAAACACACAGGAGTTATGATGCATTACAATATCCTTTGATCTTTTGGCAGGGGGAAGATGAATACCATTTTAATATCAAAATGGTAAATGAAGTAACAGGTAAATAAATTGAACAAGATTAAATAATATTTTTTAATTCAATTCATCTAAGTAACAAATTAAACATTTATCATTTTTGATTGCAGGTGCTGAAACCAACAAAAAAGTTAGTGCTATGAATTTCTATTCATACAGACTCATGATCCGTCAAGGTGAAGTAAATCATATTTTGATGTGTCAAAGACTTTTTCATCAGTTTGCAGTTGACATGTATGTCAAAATTGAGACTGAACGATTGACATTCATCTCCGTGATGCTATAAATGCGGATGGCAATGTGAATAATGTGGGAAGAAAGACAATTTTGCCAGCCACTTATATAGGAAGCCCACGCCACATGCATGAATATGCTCAGGATGCTATGTCATATGTTAGGCATTATGGCCGCCCAGACTTATTTGTTACATTCACATGTAACCCTAAATGGTCCGAAATCAAGAGGGAATTGCTACATAGCCAAACACTAGTTGATAGACATGACATATACTGAGTACGGTGAGAGATTGAGTGACAGAAAAGTTACTAAATCTACGCGAAGAAAAGTGTACCATCCGCGCGAAATTTGAAATTTCAAAATCATTCTAATCTAAGCGCTACAAAACATAAGTTTTATATTACTCGAGAATTTTTGTGGTAAAACAGACTCATCGGAGATCATTGTCACACTACGAAAAGCGTTCGTATTGTGAGAGTCGCTCACAAACTCGGAGAAATCAGGTAGAAACCCTGGACAAGCGATACGCTTACCCAGTTGAGAACAGGCCTGACCATAGCTTTACGGGCTGATCTTGGAATTATTTCTCGCAAGCGCCCTCTCAAATGGACACGTACCTTAAAGAAGCACTGGAGATGAGAGTCAGAAAAGTGGCCTAACCTTAGTAATGGAACTTTCAGTAGTTTTACATTTGTAACAGAGACAGTGACAGCCAGCTGTGAGTGACAGCGTAGAAATTTCAGTGTATTTTATAGTGTTAGGTTGTTGCCAACTTACATGTCAACTGTCAAGAAATCCCAATCTCTCACCGGAACCACTATAACTGCCAGAGTTTTTAAACAAAAATTAAAATCTCTCATGAATTTCTTAATAAAGCATTCTGTGTATGGCCGAGTCCGTTGTTGGATGTATTCTGTGGAATGGCAAAAGCGTGGATTGCCACATGCGCACATATTAGTCTTGTTGATGTTCGCTGTTCGTATATAGAAATACGGTCGTACTTGAATAGAATTTATTTGTATCAACATAACAACTTAAAAACTAACAATAACAAGTTGGACGCGACTCGGGACACAACCGCTTACGTAGACCGCACGAATGGAAGAGAGCGAGCGTCGGTTTATTTTTCCCGTGTTTCTTGTTCTTCGGGTATCCTCGTTCATCCCGAAGTGACTGTCCAATCCGGCGGCAGTGTAATGTTGGTTGCCTAACTTTTAGGAGCATGATAATTGCATGCCCACAATACTCCCCTCCTAGTGACTATCTCGTATAGTCACGAAATCTGACAGGTTGCTCTAACCTCCGACCTCGACTGCTGGTTTTTTGAGATGTTTTCACGGCGATTGTTGGACTATTCCGCTCTGTTTCCTGCGGCAGAAAGGCTGGTTTCAGTCGGTCTATGTTGACGGTGACGGGTTTGGCATTCACAACAATTTTAAATGTTTTACTATTGCGTTCTAGAACTTGATGTGGGCCGCTGTATGGTTGCTGCAGTGGTCGTTTTACAGCATCGTCCCGTAGAAATACATGGCTACACGTTGACAATTCGGGGTGGACGAAGGTACGTCGGCTGTCATGATGGCTTGTTGGTGTCGGTCGAAGCTGTCGCATGTGTGTCTGCAGCCTGTTGACGAAACTTGCAGGGTCGGCAGACACATCGTCGCCTGTGAAAAAGAATTCACCGGGTATGCGAAGCTGGGTACCATACATCAGCTGAGCCGGTGAACATTGTAGGTCCTCCTTTACTGCCGTGCGGAGTCCCAAAAGGACAGTTGGCAACAAGTCGCACCAATTGTCTTCCTCATGGCATTTAATGGCGGCCTTGATGGTTCGATGCCACCGTTCGATGAAACCGTTGCTTTGCGGCCTGTACGCAGTTGTCCTGCACCGCTTGATGCCAAGTAGGCTGGTCAGGGCTGCCGTGAGGGTTGCTTCGAACT